CATTATATATATTATTGTTAGAGCTATATATTGTCAGTGTAAATCTTTTTACACTGACAGTTAATCAGAGCCGTTAATAGTACTTTTTTATTTTAATTTAATTAAATGAGCAGATGAAAATACACTATTAAATATTAATGGCTCTGATTGGTTGTCAGTGTAAAAAAAACTTTACACTGACAGTGTATAGGTGATTAACTCTTATTGTTAAAGATAAAGCATTATTTTGTTTTAGATTTATTGATATGTCATTACAACAAAATTTATTATTATCATAATTATTTAATGGAAATAAATTAATTATTTATATTTTATTATCTAATAAAAATATTAATAATTAATATATAATAACTATTAAAAATATATTTACATCACACGAAAATTTATTATTAGCGACAACTATTTATTAGAAAAAACTTAAATCTCACATCAACTATAAATAAAATAATTAAAGAGTATGTAAGTAGAAAACAACTCTCATCTTGCAAATCTCACATTTCTTAAGAGATGAGAAAATTAAAAAAATAAAGAAAAAATTCAAATCTCACATCAACTATAGATAAAATAATTAAAGAGTATATAAGTAAAAAACAATTTTCACCTTATAAGTCTCACATCTCTTAAGAGATAAGATAGACAATTAAAAAAATAAAGAAAAAACACAAGTTTCACATTAAATATAGATAAAATAATTAATTAAAAAATAAGAAAATTAAAGAATATATAAGTAGAGAACAACCTTCATCTTACAACATTGACTAGAGGTAAGGAGCAACAATTTTTATTGTCATTAAAAATCATATTGAATGCTACTAAAATTCCATTTTATTGTAATGTGTTTTGATTAAGCATGGTTGCTACCTTTAAATATTTTTACTTGCTTGCATTATTTTATTTTTATTTTAATGATCACCAATATTAAAAAAATTTTAGATGTTTTGATTTAGTGTGGTTTGTCAAGTATTGTCCACTAGTGCAAAAATTGGATTTAAAATCGGAGTTTTAAGATCGGTTATCTTGTAACCGATCTTAAAAGTGACGCGGTGACAATTTTGTAAATAAACTGAATACTTTTAAGATCGGTTCACATTTAACCGATCTTAAAAGTACTTTTAAGATCGGTTCTTTTGTAACCGATCTTAAAAGTAGTGTCTGACACACTTTTAAGATCGGTTACAAAAGAACCGATTTTAAAAGTTGTATCAGACATAACTTTTAAGATCGGTTATAAAATAACCGATCTTAAAAGTACTTTTAAGATCGGTTATTTTATGACCGATCTTAAAAGTAGTACTTTTAAAATCGGTTATTTCAGAACCGATTTTGTATGTAGTATACAAAATCGGTTCTGAAATAACCAATTTTAAAAGTCTCGTCAGAAACCTTTTATATTTCCCTCCAATCTCATTCTCTTTAATCTTTCCCTCCATTTGTTTTTGAATTCTCTCTCTCGCGCTCTGATTTTCTATAGAGGTAAATTCCGTTATTGTTTTCGTTTTCGTTTTCGTTTTCCTCTTCTTGTATCTTTTTTTGTTTTCTCATTCTGTTCTGTATTTTCGTTGTAGTTTGGGTAAATTTCGAAGCTGGAAAGGAAGCTGGAACGGCCCGTTCTGCTAGGAGAACGTCCCGTTCTCCTTTTAGTACGGGTCGTACTGAAAGGAGAACGACCCGTGCTCCTACCAGTATGGGCCGCACTGCATGGAGAACGACCCGTTCTCCTTTCAGTACAGGCCGTACTGAATGGAGAACGCCCCGTTCTTCTAGGAGAACGGCCCGTTCTCCTTGCAGTACGGCCCGTACTGAAAGGAGAACGGGCCGTTCTGGGTTAGGTTCTTCAGTTCGTGTTTTTCACCATCTGGAACGGCCCGTTCCATTTTTGGAACGGCCCATTCCAGTTTAATTTTTTTTTCCTTGACCTTTACTTTTAAGATCGGTTATTTAACCGATTTTAAAAGTCTAACTTTTAAAATCGTCTCTTTTAAAATCGGCTACGGAATCGATTTTAAAAGTCAAAAATAACCGATTTTAAAAGCCTTTTTTCCACTAGTGCTCGCTCCATTTTCTTATCATTTAAAGATAATAATAGTGAAAATAAATTGAATCTTAAACAACAATAATATTAGTAGTAGAGATGTAGCTAGAGGTATAACTACGAAATGAGCAGAGAGAATAGATAAAGGATTTATTATTATTATTTTTATGACTTTTAACTACTGTTAGAGGTTGTTGGTAAAAGTTAATGACTTTTACTTATACTTTGAAGGTTATAGATGCAAGTTTACAACTTATAATTAGTAAGAGATTGTAAGTGTAAGTTATTGGTCTTTATCTATGATTAGAGGTTGTATGTATAAGTTATTGACTTTTACCCCCACACAAATTACCAATTGTAAGTATAATTTATAATGATATTTTGATGTTATTATAGGTAAAAAAAAAAATATGTCTATAGGTATAAAACTTACTTTGAGAGACTACTAGTCCCTTCAAAGTTGATGGGTGGGATGTCTGCAGGTCAAAGTCTATTATACTTTTACCTACAAAAATTTGACTTATAGTAGCAAATTTTATCTTGTAGTCACAAGTCCTTTTTCTTGTAATGAAAATAAGGATTATGTTTTTGCGGTTATTATATAAAACGAAACTATGTTGTTTAGGGTTTAGGGTTTAGGGTTTGTATGACGTTATGTATTATGTAACTAGTTGAATCATCGATCAGAAGTAAATAGGCATGGCAATCTAATCCGCCCTCATAGATACCCGTTCGAATCCGCCCCAATTTGGACGAGAAAAATCCGTGTTTACCGGGTTCAGGTTCGATTTTCCCCGATTGATAAAATTGGGAGTGAGGACGGGGATGTCAATCCTCCCCCCGCCCCCGCCCCTGTACCCGCCTTGCCCCGTCCTTGTACCTGCCCCCACCCCTACCCCACTTAATAATATAATTAAAAAATTATTTATATATATATATATATATAAATCAAAATTAGAAATATTTACATGTAAAAATTTATATTATCTTGCTTTTATTTTATTTTTTCTAAAAAAAATTCATATTTATTAGAAATAAAAATAAATAAATAAATAAAATGGTAGGAGCGGGGTACGGGGATGGGGCAAGAAGACCCGAACTGGGAATGTGAATGGGTACCCAGATTTTACTCCTATCAAGTATCGAGGGCGGGACAGGGGCAGTTTAAATCTGCGGGGGCGGGAATATAAAACTCGCCCCATCCTGTTGTCATCCCTAGAAGCAAACTAGAACACAAATTACTGCAAATCACACCTTGTGTGGATAATTCCTTTATTCCACAACACTAGTTAATGAATATATAGTCCCAAGACTTCTGGAGTAATTCCTAAGTAATTAATTGAGTACAAATATCGCAGCCAGTTACGTAATAACATATTTTCATTATAAAATAGGATTACCATTCCCTTATTAAGATAAATAATATTATATTTGAATCTAACTGAGTCACTAATGGAAAGAATACAAATATCACACAACAAATCTCAGTAAATATGATGAAAATTCTCTTTCGAAGAGAATAACAAGAACTCACTTTGTTATTCAATCAATTACTTCTCGATTGTTTCTCTACTCATTCCGTACTATGATAACTCCTACAATAGGCTCCCCGTGTATTATGTTGGGACGTGAATCTTTTTAAGAGTGAGCAAAAGTAAATAGTAAGATTTTAATAAATATAAGTAGGTAAATATTGTTAAAGAAGTGAAATGTAGTGGTGAATCTTGATAAATCGTTCATTCAAAAACCCAAAGAGAAACTCGAGTCTTCTCTCATAAGCTTCAAAGTTTAATCTCAAATACTGCAATTCTCGCTAGTGAAATTGGCTTAAGCCAAGAAAATCTCACTTAAGCAAGAAAACAAAAGCAAAGAATTTTGCTTAAGCCAAAAATTCTCCCTTAAGCCAATTTTGGGCTGACAGTAAAAGCATGAAATTTTTGCTTAAGTCAAGAAAATCTCACTTAAACCAATTTTTTTTGACAGATTTCTTCCTTTAGGCTTTCATTCCATTTCTTCATGCATTGTAGATGATTTAACCTTCCTCTACATGGATCTCCAAGGTCCTATAAGTCATCCTCAATATGGACTTCAAGTTCATCCTTAATTAGCCTTTCTAGCCCTTTATTATATAAATTGAATTTTATTATATGACCTTTTTACTTTATAGAAACTAATAAAAATATTTTTTTTTTGTTATTGAGCCTAAAATTTCAATTTTAGTTGTCCTTCTCTCAAGCTGATTACGATAATATTAAATATTAAAGTGAGAGTTCCTGACACCACCGAAATTCACTGACACATGTTAGTTCAAGTAATAACTTAACTATTTCTTCCAAAAGTAAAAATCTTGAACTTGATGTTTGTAAATGAAAAATAGGTGATGGAAGAACTTTTTCCCCTTTCCAAACGAGTTTAAGATTAATTAATCAATATATTTAGTTTTTGAATAGGCAAAAGTTATGTTATTGATATTTGAATAGTTTGGAAGCATCTGAGAAAGCCACTCTTTAGATTAATTTTATTCAACAGGTGGGTTGTTTATAAAGAAGTTAAGATATTTTGTTTACGTAGTTTAATGCTATGTATATAGAGTTGTATAATCAAAAGTTAAAAATGTACGATATACAGGAAACACGCTAATAATAAAAGGTCAGATGTTGTCTTCCTATTTTGGAAAGATGTCAGCTGGATTTGATTTGAAAACTTCAATCAAGAATCGATGCAATGTCCTAGCCATTTGGTGTTTGGTTTCCATGATTCTATTCTGTCAATTAATTTTGAACGACCAAGAAAAGCCAAGAACCATTATCCATGGATTTCTCTATTGGCGGTGATCCTTGCCTTTTACGGGAATCATATTCTTCAATCTTTTCGCCATAACGATGCTACACCACATCAACCTAAAATTTAAAAGTCAATATCATAGCAAGGTTCTCTGAATATATAATATATCCCCATTCCCCACCATATTAATATTATGCTTCCATCAACTAACATACTCATTCCACAAACTGGTTATGGCTCTTCTATAACCTTGTTATTTTACCAAACCATCATTGTGTGAATTTAGCCATATACACGTACAAACACACATACAATGGGAACTGCTCATAGTAGTCACACTAACCTTGGAACCGCATGTACATCTTATGATGCTGGATCCACAGGTACCATAGCACGTTGGGGTGACTCTTTCGAAGTTTGCATGGGCTTCAGCAAAGAAAACGACCACACAGAAGTTTGGGGCGTGAAATACAAAACAAGTCATCACAGACACCATTGTGGTTTTCATCTCAAGGCAAGCCGCGACAACAACGGTGTTGAGAAATTGTATTTCGGATTAGGCGATTTTTCTGAAAACAAAATGGAACTCGCTTTGAGAATCACAAGGGTTGGTCTTGATGGTCTTCGTGGAGGGATAAGTGGCATCGATTCTAGAACCCCCCCAATGTTCTTCACTAGGGCAAAACAAGACTACACATTAGAGACAACTATTGTTCCGTACGGTTGTTCCTTCAGAGACGGTCTTTTCGTTCTCGAAATGAAGAAAAAATTTAACTCCGACCATGCCTACATGGTGACTATGGCACACTATTATGTGACCAAAGATGTTGGTCTTTCTGTGGAGGCCAAAATTCGACTCAGGAAACACTGTTTCGATGTTGAAGTGGAGGGTCCTATCAACCACCCTAGTGATGAATTGCGTAAGGTAATTGTCAAAACGCGTCGTACTGGTATATGGTCGCGTAGTGCGTGTTCTCATTGTAATGTTGGAGCTAAGACTAGCTCTGGTGGTGCCAAAAGTGGAGAATCCAATAATTCGTCGTTGAAGGCTCAAGCGAGTCTTCAGAATGGGCACGAAAAGGTAGGTGAAATCGTTAACCGTGTTTTCTTGAGCGGTGTCACGGAGCAACACAACACAGGACTTATCAATTCAAGTGGATACACCACGGGTTCTCTGAATAATTCTATTATATTTGTGCGTTGTAATTTTTAAATTCTTGATTTGGAAATTGTGTAATATTGTCGAATGGTTCAATTGTTCAAAATGATTGACTATTAGGTGAAACAAAATCTTGGAACAGGGGTGATGTTTGTAAAGGGAGGGAATAACAATTATACACTGCATAAATTGTATCTTTACTTTTGGTACGCTAGCTCCTTTGCATTAATAAAAAAATGAACACTACAAAATAAAGGTTAATTGTTAGCTTTATATGGATCATTAATATTTTTATTTTGATAAGATAAATTTGATTTGTACCAGAAATTTTACAATTAAGTCAGAAAATTATAGAAAAGAATGAGAAGTGTGAGATGCGCCATAAATAATGTGATAGGAAAAGATAAAAATAAAAAATAATAATCTTGTAAATAAAAATTATTATTTATAAATAGTTGTTTGTATATCAAAAGTTTTTTAAGTACCGATTATCATTACTCATTCAGAAATTTTCCACCCACTGTTCACCTTAAATATGTGGTTAATCAATATTATGTAAATATGGTTAATTCACTACAATAAATTATATACATAATCCCATACAAAAATTATTATAGATACAATATATATAGAGGTATAAATCTATTTGAAATATATTTACACATAATTTTAGTATTGATTTTAAATATGATTCAACAATTAATATATATCGTGTATCACTATAATATGTACTTACACTTTTAACAATTATAAGAATATAAATATAAGTAAAAATAATTTTTAATAATAAATATTATGTCATTATATAATATGTGTCACCACAACACAATTTTTTTATAGTGATTTTGTCTCACAAATTGGTAATTATTATTAAATGTTTTAATATCCTTGTAATATATTAACTACTTATAAAACAAAATTAATCACATTAAACATTTCAATAAAATCATAACATTATATTTATTTTATAACTGTTATTAATATAAAATATTCATCATATTTGCTGATTACTAATTTTTGTTAAAAAATCTAACTGACTATTTTTAGTATAGTCTCTCAATTCCTCTCCTACCATGTTTTTTTTATCCACAAAACTCAAATCCAAATCCTTGTTTAAAGAGATTAAGTCAAGTACTACTCAAGATTCACAACTTATTAGTAACTCCTTAACTCTATTAAACACATATTGATAATTGATACAATCATGTTCATTTACTCTTAACTAGCTACAGGCGAAACAAAGTTAATTATATTTATATATGTAGTTAATCACGTGTGACAATGATTTATAGAGTTTTTTGAACTCTTGGAAGGGGTGGCTAGGGTTTTGCATGCATGTGTGTGATCATGGGTGACCACGTGAGCGTCCCATGGAGTTTCCTGATTAACGAAGAATGTCCCTTGGCTTCAACAAAGGCAATCCCTATTACCACTCCAAAGAAGTCTTTTGCTCAGGCAATACATTTGTAGCGTGATTCTTTTCTAAATCTTCTTCTTGCTCCATGTTTTAATGGAGATGTTCTTACAGTTTCCATTCTGGAATAATAATATTAGGCTAGTTTGGTAGGATGTAAAAAGCATCTACATGATCGGGTTTTGTTACCCAAGGTTGCCAATCACCTGAAGTTTCAAGATCTAAAGTTGAAATTGAGTGATTTATGGAAACCTAGGGGAGCCTAGTGCATTATATCCCTTGGTAAAGGTTATTTTGAATTCTCCTTCTCTTCGGATGAGGACTTGCAATAGGTTCTTGTTGTGGGTTCTTGGAATATCTCAACGAGAGTGATTCAATTGTTTCCATGGACACCAGATTTCAACCCACTCTTAGTTTGATATATAGTCAAATGCACAATGTTGGGTACATATTTTTGGTTTGCCTCAAGAATATTTTTGCCGTTGCATTCTCTTTTCCATTATGCGAGGGATATTGGTTCACCCCTTTCTTTGGATGGCGCAATAGTGAATAAGATTTTTGGCCACTACACGTAGGTGCTAGTGGGTATTGATTTGCGTCAAGAGATAAAGGACCAAATTTTGGTTGAAAGGGAGGGTTTTGCTTTTTTTGTTGATCTGGTTTATGAGAGGCTCACAACTATTTATGGGTCATACAAAAGGATAGGTCATGCTATTTCTAAGTGTTGGCTAGATGCGAAGAAATAGACTAGGGTACACTAAGAGGTTAGGCAACAAAAACCTTCAAAGACTCAACGAAAGGATTCTATTGGGGAAGATATACAAATGTGGTGGCCTCAGTTCTAGTCACCAATGAATGCTCCCACAAACTTGGTGGTGGTAGGACTACCCACTCCCTCTCATATGTTGAAGTCCTTAGATGGTTGTCATATATACTCTATAACTTGGTGGGTTAGTGCAATAAGATCTTCACATGGTTTCAAAATTATGGGGTGATAGGGTGGAGCAAGAAAAGGTGGAAACTCCCTTGGAGAAAGCTAATGTCACTCCATTTGTTTAAGTAATATCTAGATCACATCATAGGAAAATTAGACAAAAGCATTAAATAATTTCCTTTCAACCTCCTTCGTGGGGTGGTCCTAACAATCTAGCTTGATGAAGATCATTTTCTAGAATGTTAGGGGTTTTACTAATGTGGGTTGACGTGGTGTGTTAGCTAATTTATGCATTTCATACAAACTAGACTTTTCTATTATCTAAACCTTTGGTTGTTTGGGAGAAGACCCTGACTCTCATTTGGTTGGGTTTGAGACTAAAGTTATTTTTTGGTTAATCATTGAAACTTGCTTCAACCTAACCTTTGGTGCCTTTGCTCATCAAATTTGGACTAGTTGGTATTGTTAGTCTCTAGTCAACTGATATCTTTCTCTTTATCCATCAACAATTGCCCATGCTTCTTTGCGGTTGTTTATGGTGCTATGATGTATATTCAAAGACCTGACCTTTGGAGAGCTTGGATTTATGCAACAATAGAGTCCTAGCCCATGGTTGTTCATTGGCAACTTTAATATTGTTTTGGGTGCACATGAAAAGTTGGGTAGGAACTTATCGAACTCACAATCATGTGGTGATTTCTCATATACGTCTAATATGTATCACCTGACCCACTTGCCCACTAAAGGAGCAGTTTAAACGTGGATGAATGGTCGAACAAGATCACAATGTGTGGATATATGATATTGGATATAATGCTATTTGCATCACTAATTGTGTGGATGTTCGATGTTTTATCTCTTGTAGTATGGTTCCATGTTGCAAATATGATCATCACCCCATTATGATCTCCCTGGAAAATAGTACAGCTAGTCCTAGTTTCACTTTCTTTAAATTCATGTCCATGTGGATTGATCATCAAAATCGTAGACATTTGGTTAAGGAGGTTTTTTTTTTTTTTTATCAGCCAATAAATATTTATATTATTATATACCGGTACAAGGGGTACCAAAACCCATATACATAAGATAGGTAGAAGATTATAGAAATCTGTCCACCCACATAAAACCAAATTAACTTTTCAGTTGAACCATTTGGTTGAGGAGGTTTAGAGTACGCATGTGGTGGGATGTCCAATGTTGTTTTAAAATAAAAGCTAAAACTGTTGAAAATTGCACTCAAATCTTGCAACTGTGATGTGTTTGGTAATGTGCATACATGTGTGGTGATGTGCATACATGTGTGGTGGATGCTATAAAAAAAAAAGTTAGAAGTTGTTCAACCTTGAAGTGAGATGGACTTAGAGTTAGAAGCCACAACTCAATTGGAGTTTCAATAGGCCTTGAACTTTGAGGAGTCCTACCAGCATGAGAAAGCTCACTTAAATCGGTTTTTGAAGGAGGATCGTAACATTATGTTTTTCCAATGTATGGTAAAGATTAAACGTACCTACAAGTAATTAACCATTTTATGGGTTGGGGATTCCATCTTTGATGCTCTAGAGGATATTTGAAGCCATATCATTTAGTATTATTATTCCTTATATGCTTTAGAGAATATTTGTTCTCCTAACGAGTTGGTAGATATCGTGATTCCCTCTTGTGTTTCCCATGAGGATAATACTATGCTCGCTAACTTGCCCATGCAATAAAAGGAGGTCAAAAAAGCTATTTTAGATATGAATCCATCTAGGGCTCTAAGGCTAGATGGGTTCAATGGATATTTTATCATTTCTTTTGGGATGTTATTGGTTTGTATGTTTACCATTCAGTCTTGCAGTTTTTTCGTGGAATTGGATTCTTTCTAGTTTGAACTCCAATTTGGTGGCACTCTTACCTAAGTTTTTTGGGGTAGATAGAACTTAGGACATATCAACCTATTGCCACAAACTTTCAATTCAAGATCATCTTCAAAGTTCTTGTGAATAAACTTGTTTTAATTACTCCTAAGATTATTTCTCCTTAATAGAGGGGTTTTATTCATGGGAAAGAACTCTCTGATTGCATATGTTTTGCATCTGAGGCTATCAATATGCTTGATCGGTGGGCTTTTGGTGGTAACCTAGCAATTAAGTTGGATATACGTAAAGCCTTTGATACTTTAAATTGGAATTTTCTTCTCTTGTTTTTAAGAGCATTTAGGTTTCATGAGAAACTTAGTGGTTGTGAATACGTACAATCCTATCAGCTAGGCTATCGTTTAATATACTAGGATCAACAATAGGCTTATTGGCTTGTAGACAAGGAGTTTCTTAGGGTGATCCATTGTATCTATTGCTTTTTTGTCTCGTAATGGATGCTCTTAGTCAAAGGATCTTTTTTCTAATGGTTCATAATTAGTTGATACCCATGGCAAGCATGAATGGATTTTCTACACCTTCACATGCCTTGTATATGTTGATGATATTATGATTTTCTACAAACGCAAGGTTAGTAATTTGCAAAATCTCACGTTTATTCAAGATAGATGAGGATGTGTCGATTAGGAAAACATAGTAGTTGTGAGAAGTCTCAATTCTTCCATAGGGCTATGGTTCCTATCCACGTGGCACATATAAAGAAGATTCTAGGATTCGTTGCTAGGAGTCTTCCCTTTATCTACTTAGGGGTACCCATTTTTAAAGGCAAGCCACATGTGTGTCATATTCAAGGGGTGGTGAATAGGATCAAGAGCAAGTTGATGCCATGAAAGGTTCTCTCTTATCCATAATAGGTAGAGTGTAGTTGGTGAATTTAGTGATATCAAGGATGTTATTGTATATCTTTCATATTTATTCGTGGGTAAATCGTTAATGAAGAA